AAAAAAAAAAAAATCACGCAAGTGAGAAGTGGATTAATCGATACTGCAATAATTTTGGCCCAATTTGATCTCCCACAACTCATGTGTGGGCCATGCTGAGTTCTATTCTAGAGGCCTATGTTGTAGTGGGCATATAAAGTGGGTTGCAGTCTACTTCGCGTGGATCCCATGTTATGTAAGTTTGAGCCAATAATTTTTTGGAAATTTTTATGTCTACAGCATGAAAGTAAAAAATATTATAATTATAAATCTACTTAAACAAAGAATCTTTACTGCATATAAACCAGAGCCGGCTTTTACCATGAGCAGGGTGAGCAACTGTTCAGGGTCCCCAATTAATTGGGGCCCCATATATAAATACTGAAATATTATATATATAAATAAAAAAAATATAACAATATATATTATTTATTTATTTATTGTTAATATAATTTTTACAGTTACGATACCTCTGCAAAACGGCGTTCTTTCAAGATGGAAAATTATTGTCCGATGGTTCATCTTTCTCTCCAGTCTCCCACGCCTTTAATCATTGGACTCTTCTATAATCTCCAACGGTATCAGTCTCTTCGATTCCCACGCAAAATTCAATTCTGCCGTCTTTTAATTCTTCTATTCTTGATGCAAATGGCATTCCTTCAAGCCTTTCAAGCAATTGAGAAATCCAACAACAACTTTCAAATTGACAATTTCATTCAATCATTCTCTCCTAATTATTTTCGATTCTTCATTCTTTTGCTTCCCGGCTTCCCCCAACATGATAGCAGCACTATAGGCTATAGAAGTCCTATTTTTCCGGTTTTCCCCAACACAACCAGGCACTAGCAAACAAGACGGCAACGAGATAACCACACTGCATCAATCTTATTTTATCCTGACTTTCCCCAGCATAGCCATTAAACAAGACGGCAACTGAGAGAGAGCCAGAGAGGTATGTCTAAACCTTTTTTTCTTTTGGTTTTTTATTTTTGTGGGTACAAGAACATCTTGTTTTAGTTGTATCGTTAAATATTTGTATTTTATTACTAAAATATTAAAAAATATATTATTCAATATTGTAATTAGGGGGCCTAATTTTATTTTTCGCTCTGGGCCCAAAAAATGTTGGAGACGGCCTGTATAAACCCAAAAGCAGTTACAGAACAGGCACATTTTTTAGAGCATGATTGTTATATGAGAATAGAATGATTATTCCTTATTTGATTCTCATTCTTATACTTAGTATATTTTGATGTTAAAGAATGATCATTACCATAGAATCACTATTTATATTCTAATGGGATTATTCATTCCTCTCATAACACATGGTTTTAGCCATTCCAAATCCATTGGGAATAAATTTATTAATTTCCTTTTCACAAAATTATCCTAAATCATTACATTTTTTAAATATATATACTATAATTCATGATTAAATCATATTAAAAAAATATTTTATAAAATAAATTGTAAATAGAAATTTATAAAATTATTTTTATTTATTTTCATATTATAATTAAATAATCATATAAAAATAAAACTAAAAAATGCATTTATAAATAATTTCAAAAGATATTATTTTATTTTTATACATCAAATATATTATTCATTCATTCATAAATTGAATTAAAAAATTTAAAAAATATATATTCGACCACATATGCTTATATGTGTTTATGTAATGATATATTTGTATTAGCTAATATGTATATGAATACAAAATTCACTAATTCATTGTATAATGAGTCTAACAATACAAAAATATATTTACCAAAATATAGTATTTTTTTTAGAAGAAATATAATAATTTTATTATTATCATAAGTAAAAAATAACATTAATAAAAATATAATTTGTTTTTTTTAATAAAATGGTGATAAATTATAATTTGGAATGAGAATGTCATTCAATTCAAGTTTTATTCCTTCTGCATACCAAACACATCAATGGAAAAACTTGTTTCATTCATTTCTCATATTCATTCTATTCTTCAACTCATTCCATTCCTATCAAATTTCATTTCATTATACCAATCATGTCTTTAGTGTTTTCGGTCAGCACAACTCAAACCCAATTTGGTGTGGCATGCCTTTTTCAAACATTTTCCATGGTTGAAAGGAAAAAAAAAAAAAAAAAAAAAAACTTGTCTACTCGTTCAAAACGAAAAAATTCATTACAAGACTTACTTTTTGTTATTGTGTCATAAGGCTCGAATTTTCAACTTTTTATCTAAAAGATTCCGTTTTAAGGTATTCTCAATATAAGGCCTGCTTTTACATTCTATTTTTCAATTTAAGACTTCAAATCACTTTGTATTTTGATATACTTATGTAAACCACATTACTCTTTTTTTTTTATTTATTATTTTTACAAAATTATAAAGAAAAATATTAAATATCTTTAGTAATTTTTTTCTTTTTTTTCTTTTTTTTCATATTTTTAGTAAAATTACCTAATAAAATATTTATTTCATAATTTACCTCTATGCAAAAGCTTAATGAAGTTAAAAGTTAAAAAAAAAAAAATTAATTTTTATCAAAATATGTGATAACATTAGAATATAAATTGTTACAAAAATAATTTAATTTTTTTAATATAAAATATTATTTGTAAATAAAATTTATATTTTGAAAAAGTTAAGAATATATAAAATTAATGCCTATAATAAAAGTATTAAATATATTTTAAAACTAGTTTCATAAGAAAATTAATCCAAAATAGTTACATTTATTCAAAATAAATTTAGCTTAAATGAACTAATTTTCTTATTAAAGTGATTTTACTAAAAATATTTCTAATTATTTAATTTTTTTTAAAGTATTGTTGTTTACATAATTATACCAAAATAAAATGTGATTTGAGTCATATTGCAAAGTTGAATGTAAATGTATGATTTATATTGATAATAACTTAAAATTAAAATCTTCAAATTAAAAGGTTGAAAATTAGCGAAGCAAAGCAAAAAAATAGCTGGGATCCAACACAAAGAATAAATAAATATATTCAAAAGTTTGTAAAATGTACATATTTATGTCTATACTGTACCAACCACACACCACGTTTTTTGTATGCGATTGGGTAATTTGATCTTTTTTTTTTCAAATCACTGAAGAAAAAGAGGGCGTTTAAGGACAAAAATAAGCTGTCTTTTCTCTTTGTTTTCTTTTCTAAGCCCAAGATTTCCCCATGGATCTTTGCCTGCCCTCCTCTTTCCGGCAGCCGGAGTATACCCTTTTCCGCCGGGATCTTCACGGATCCTTTTTCCGGCAGATGGGTTCGGCGCCAGCCCGGTCGAGGCAGAGAGCGGTGGTGATGGCGCAGAAAAAGCCGAAAATCGAAGGGCTGAGCGATGAGCTAAACTCCATCGCGTCGCAGAATCTTGACTACGCGCCTGCACGAAGGCGAGTGCGTTCGGCTTTTGCCAATGTTCAGCTGCAGCTCGATCACATTTTGTTCAAGGTATTACTGATTCTTGAATTTGTTTTCCTTTTTTTTTTCTTGAATCTGACCAAGAATGAAGCTTTTTGCTTCGAAAAGTAAGAAAAATTACTGAGCAGTTGAGTTGTTTTCTTGTTTTTTTTTCCCCCCCTTTCATATTATTGTGAAGAACAGGTTGTTCCAGCTGGAATCAGAACAGAAGAGGTGAGTTTTTTTTTTTTTTTTTTTTTTTTTTTTTT